GTGGATTTGGGGTTACTTTTTTAACCCAAATTTGGGGATTTTTTTAAATCCGAGGAAACCAGGACCCCTGGTATTCGGGCAGCCCCTCCACATACAGAATGGATGTACAGGGGAGGTTATGAAGGAATGACTGGCTTCATTGAAGTCCACGAGCATTTGGCCATTGGTTTCAACAGAACCTACATTTCCTCCTTAAGTATCTTGACCAAGGTCACAGAGAAAGCTTGTGCTAAAGCCAAGAATATTGCTCGGAAACCTTGTCTCCAACTCCTGTGCTTTCCTCAGAAGGCCGCCTTTCCTTTCTGGCCAAGTCACTGGACTAACCATGACCGGTGCTGGTGTCTCTGGTGCCCTTCACTGGTCATCCTCTTTCTCCACTGCTGGTTTATTTCCAAAGGACTCACGCCCGTCTTGCTGGGGTCATCTGACCCTGGCGGTCTTTCCTGCCCCAGTGCAGGGGGCTGGATCTGATGATCTGCAAGGTCCCTTCCAGCCCTGAACAACTATGAAACTATGGTGCCAATTCCAAGGCAATGACCCCATACCCTCCCTTGCACCCACTATAGCATCTATTTCTGCTACTGCTGGAGACAGATACTGGGCTAGCTGGACAATTAGCCTGACCTCGTATGGCACTGCTTAGGCTCATATGTTTTTAAATGATCGTAGATTCATGGGCTCATAGGCCAGCAGGCCGGAAGAGCTCATCTTCTGACCATCTAGTCTGACCTCCCAGGGACCACAGGATATGAAACTTCTCTGCATTCATTCTGGCTTGGACAAAGCAGATCTGTTCAAAAGACACCACCTTTGATTTGAACGTGTCCCATGACGGAGTCTCCACCGTACGCCAGGGTAGGCTGCTCAGTTCCCTTCACCGTTCAAACTCGGTACCTACATTTTACCTAGCATCAGCTTCCTGGATCTCATTAGACATTTGCCAGAGAAGCTGAACATAGTTCAATCATTATCAAAGTCAGTAAGGAAAGTCCTCTTATGAATCCTAAAATATGAGCAACGCCTTGAAAGAACTCCAGATAACTCAGTGACTTCCAAGTTGCCAAGGTACGGGAGGGCTTTTAAGCTCCTTTGGCTGAAATTTCACTGCAAGCAGATCCCGAAAATGCAAAATGATGTCCAGAAACGTACGACAAGCCAGTGTGGGAATAGAGGAAGCAGCCAAGTGTGCAGGAGGAATCTGCTGAGATTAAACAGAAATGACCCGCAGAATATGTTTGCATGATAAACAGTTGCATTTGTGAATAAGCAGAGCACAGGCAGGGCAGAGCTTCCCGGAGAAACATTATCTTTACTGGGGACAAGTCTCCATTTGGCTCTGTCTCTTCTACTAATTAGGTTTTACATTAAATGCAATGAGGTTGCTGGCAATCAGCCACCTGAACTAGCTGAACTTTCTCTACATTTTTATTTTCCAGTGACCATTGTGTGGTCTTGGCAATTAGTTCCCCCCATCCTCGCCCAATGCACGTCATGAACGGCTTAATCCAGGTGGAGATTTTCCATCAAGTTGACTTTCTGAGGACAAAGAAAAAAGCTCCCCGTGCCACCTCGACTAATGAAGTGCATCGGCCTGTTCATTGCAGGAGGTTTTCTCCTGGCATTCGCCAGCTGACGGTCTGACTCTCTTCTCACCCGCGCCGGTTTGTTTCCAATGTTTCCCTCTTTTATAAGGGGGAACAGAGTCCCAAAGGGCCGCATCCAAAGCATCCTGAAGTCAGGAGTAAAGTTCCCGTTGGCTTCAGTAGGCTCAAGCTCATGGTGCGTGAATGCACAGAAGAGACTAGGATGGAAAGGTTGGGAAAATGGGCTGCCTATCACAAGAGAGAGCTGTGAAGGGAAGCAAGGGAGAGAGAGGGAGAAGAGACAAAGATGTTTTCTATGGTATGGATTGAAACCAATTTCCCAGGAGAACCAAGGCCCTGATCCAGAGAAGACAAGCGTGACTACGTGGCTTGAGCAGCCCCAGCTCCGTAACTCTTTCCATAACCGGGCCATTTTGGCATCTTGTGGGTGCCCGTTACATAACCTCGGTTTGCTCTGATGTGCTGTCTGGGACACGGTATCGCTCTTCCCTGACACTTGGTGAAGGACACCAGGGACTGCCCAATATTGACTGCTATGGGGCTTAATTGACCTCCCCCTTAACAACAGATCTCTGGGACATTCCTGGTCCTCCCTGGATCCAGAGCAGAAACTCAGGATGAGCAAACAGCACCAGTACAAAGGCTTGCTTTGGATAAAGACCCCAAGTCCCACACCGAAGAAGACCTCTTCTAATAGGAGCATGCTGGAGCTCATGGGTTTTCCAACATCACATGGGTTGGAAACACTCTCTGACAGCATCTCGAGTTAGGTCTCCACCATATGAAGCACCCTCTCAAATCACCGGTCACTTTTGCCAAACCCAACATAAGCCATCATTTCGTTTCCTTGCTTGGGGTCAGGCAAGCATAATAGAAACTATGAAACTAAGTCTTTCCACCAGAAACAAAAGCTGACGTGGCTCCTACATACACACCTCATGCCAGGTGGATGCCAGCCTGTACTCACCACAATAGCTGCCAGGATGGGCACCTGAATGATCCATTTTAAATTGCCGGCACTCAAGTCCCAGCACCTGGGGAGACATGGACACCACATCAGCAAGTGCACATCTGGATGAAGAGACATTCCTGATTGCTGCTCAGCCTTGGAAATGGGATGGTCCAATCCTTGCATATCAACAGGCCCACCCCTGCCTCATACCCATCAGTTATGAGGGAATTAGAAGACATCTCTGGTTATGCTGACCATTTATTCTTCATCACAGATCATAGAAATCGAGGGCTGGAAGGGAGCTCAGGAGGTCACATCCAGTCCGACCCCCTGCTCCAAGCAGGACCAGCCCCAACTCCATCATCCCAGCCAAGGTTTTGTCTACCTGGGTCTTCAAAACCTCCAAGGATGGAGACTGCACCACCTCTCTGGGTAACCTGTTCCAGTGCCTTACTACTTGCCTAGTGAGAAAGTTTCTCCTAAATTGAACCTCAACTTTCCTTGCTGCAGCTTGAGCCCATTGCTCCTTGTCCTGCCATCTGCCCCCACTGAGACCAGTCCAGTGCCATCCTCTTTGCAGCCCCCCGGCAGGGAGGTGAAGGCTGCTATTCAATCCCCCTCGGTCTTCTCTTCTGCAGACTAAATCAGCCCAGTTCCCCCAGCCTCTCCTCACCAGTCCTGTCTCCCAGCCCCACAACCATTTTCATTGCCCTCCGCTGGACTCTCTCCAGCTTGTCCACATTCTTCCTGTGGTGGGTGGTCCACAGCTGGACACAGGACTCCAGATGTGGCCTCCCCAGTGCTGAATAGGGGGGATGAATCACTTCCCTTGATCTGCTGACAATGCTCCTGCCAATGCAGCCCAGTTCTAAATACATTTAAAATATTAGGGTGTTTATACACGTGCTCTAGGAGTGTGTGTGTGTATATGGGTGGGCGATGCACTTTAATTAGAGCAGCTAACAGAGCCGCTCTAATTAAAGCACCAAGAACACCTCGTGTATCAGTGTCCCCATGCCTAAAAAATGGCAGTGGGAGAGCATGAACTAAAGCTTGTTCGATGAGCTTTAGTTAAATCGCCCCTGCCATTTGAAGTGTGGGGGCACTGATACAAGAGATGCTGTAATTGCCACGCTCCAGAAGACTCGATTAATTGAGCCATTAATTGAGCACATTGGAGCAGCCTCGCTGCTCATGTTTAGGCACCTTTGCTTTACAGATTTCACGGTGCCACCCCTCAAGTCTTGTTTCCAGTCTTATGGATGAGACTCCACCACCCCAGCCTGCTCTTGGGTGAGTTCAGGAGGTAAGCGGTGTTGGCAAGGGTGGGGGATCCTAGGGTTCAGCAAGCTGTATGGGACAGCTTTGCAAAGGCCGTGTCTAATTAAAGAGTGACTTTTACCCCCCTTTCGTCAAATTGGTGCAATCTGCTACTGCTGAGCCTTTGAGATCGGTTTAAAACTCAACGCGCTGGTTCCTTTCCCCCGTGCAAACCTTTCTGCTCCAAAACAATGCAGCCAAGACGTTGCCCAAGGAGAGGAGAAAGCAAGACAGAAGCCAACCAGGACTTACTCGGTATCTGCAAGAGTGGCCCTCACACTGGCCCACACCATCACAAATACAGCAGGGAGACCTGCAAACAAGAAAGCACTCGTGAATGACCAGCATCGAGCGAGCTCATCCCAAGGGGAGAGGACCAGAGCGGACCAGGAGGAGTGAAGTGAAGGACCCTCTGGTTGCTCCTTATCGTCCCAGCTGTGCAGGAGACCTGATTTGGAGCCTGTCCCAGGTCAGCGAAGCCCACACACAGGGAAGGCCCTGACAGGCAATGTCTTTTATCAGGACCACTGCAAAGCAGAGCTGGGCTTGGTCTCTCCTGCTCTTTCCTCCCACCCTGATCTTTAAGGACACGTGGGCTTGGGGTTAGTCTCAGATCCCCATTTCGTATTCGGTGGCTGATGCAGAACAGTGAATCCGACTACTCCAGGTTTCTGGGGGAATTTGTATCCAGGGCCACAATGGGCTATTTAGATGGTAGGACCAGCACCTGGCACGGTGACCCCCGTTTGCCTGTGCCCTGGCTTTATGCACAATAAGAGATGGTCTCTGCCCCAAGGGACTTCTAATGTGACCAGGGAAGACAGGCAAGAGAGAAAACAAATGATGCCTTGGCCAAGGCATCTAGCACACTGCCTACCCCATCTTCTCCCCTCTCCCAGGTAAAGAGAGGGAGAAGATGAAGGGAAGAGGAGGAGTGTGATGGAGAAGCCACTGGAATAATTGGGGGTGGGTCTTGAATCTGCACTGAAACACCCTGACATTTTACCCATCACATTCAGATCACCTTGAAACAAAAAGAGCTTTTCTTGGTCTGGGGTGGAGAAGCTCTTTGCCTCTTAAGAAACCTCTCACATGAATGAACCCAAGTGAGGCCCACCGCTGAATAATTGTGAAGTGTCCAGGGCCCCTTTATTTCTGCTGAAATCAAACTGGCTTCAGGGAATTACATGAGACATGCACTTTTTCTCCCTCCAAGAGGTGGGAGAATATATCCTGCCAGGGAGCTGAATATATCCTGTTGCCGGGTGCAATCTGCTTTGCTTGTGTGTGATCCCCTTACCAAGCCGATGCATGCCAGGTATTGCAAATAGTAATAAAATGGCCCCTTTCGGGAAAAAGAAAGAAACAAGACATTTCTCATTGACCGGCATAAATACACTGCCTGGACTCTGAGCTCTCTGGGTTGCAATTCAAGCAAGCACAGAATCATAAGTTTAATTGTAAGCACGTGCTTCTAGCTCGCTGGGCATTTGTAGATGTACAGCACCTAGCACAAGAGCACTGGGAATTTGGCTGGAGCCTCTAAATTTTACTGGAGTAGAAAAAATCATAAAAAAATGCAACATTCAATCACATTCAATGCACTTGGAGCTCCTCTGGTTATAGGGATTTATGAGGAGGATGCATTTCTACCCTGCTGTACATACCCAGCTCTACAACTACAACCAATAGCTGATGTTAAAAACAACCGTTTGCTTGACTGCGACTGCACGGGCAACCTGGGCTGTATTTCATTTTAGAGATGTGGGTGTTCATGCTTTTATCTAGTATTGTGTTTTTTTAATTATTTGGTTGCTGAACCCAGGGTAAGACGGGTGTATAAGAAGTCAAAGAAGTCAAGAAGAACCTTTTTACCAGACCTTGGATCAGACAGGCACATCCTTTAATAAACCTGAATAAATGCCTACGTGCAAAGTATTGGGCCAGTCCTCAGCTACACCATTACGAGCTGCAGTGAAGTTACTTTAGTTTACTCTAGAACTGGTACTTGAACTTTAATTTGCACCCTTTTTCAAACAGAATCTATTAAATAAAACCCCCGCATCTTTTCTCACACACGGAGACTTTCACAAGATATTTTTTTCCCCATCTGTTTCAAGGGAAGATACAACCAGAGAGCAGAGTTCGAGTCTATAATGCTTCCTTTACTTGACCTCTTTCCCCTGCCCTTTTCTGAAGGGCAAAACTGTAAGAGTACATGGGAAAGAGGCAAGGGGGAGAAAACTCGGGGGTTGAGGAGAAGGTAGGAAAATTAAAACCCCAAGTACTTGAAAAGGAGCATTTTCAAATCCAAAGCTTTTCACTAAACATGTTGCAACACAGTTCAAATAAATGAAAAAAAAAAGGGTCTCTTAATATGCATGTCATTGAAATTACCGTGACATGCACATAATTTTGCATGTTCAACCCATTTCTCAACCACCTCTGCCTCTACTTCTTCCCGGGGGAACAGGGCACCGTTTGCATGATCATGATCTTTTGTATCCTTTCTGATGGGTCCCAACCATCCTCCCTGGCCTTCATGACCTGCTCTGGTCAGCACCTTAGGTCCACTCATTTGGGGTGCCTTTGTTTTTAGGTGCTTGACTTGAGAAGTCTTGGCCCTGGTTGTCAATGCTGCTGAGTACCCGCAGCTCCCAGTAAAGTCACTGGGACCAGCTGGTGCTCTGCATGCCCTGAAAACCAAGCCCAAGGCATCAGAAGAGGGGTATCCAAAAATGCCAACCCCAAGAAGAAGCCAGGTTTGAAACTGTGGCTGCAAAGTCAGCCTGCAAGTCTCTGTTGGAGTGAGTGGCACAAAGGATGGACGGTCCCTGCAGCTGGCAAAGCCACCAAGAGCGGGGAGCTCTCATGCACGCGCGCATACACCCTCCTGCATGCAGGGCCAGCATGGTGCAGGCAGAGCTCCGCTGGGTGCTGTCATTGACTTGTACAGTATCCACATTGTATGCGCTGTGCATGCCCAGTCAATACACACAGTGTGTACAATGCAGGTCCTATAAAGTCAGGTGTCTGCCCTGCCGCTGGAGAAGGTGTGAGCAACGCATGCTAGACAGGGTGCTTCCCCCCACCCCTCTCTCCTGCAAAGAGATGACCAACGGCCAGTGTCCTCATGCACACACATGCATATCTATCTATCTATCTAGCTAGCTATCTATCTAGGTACATACACACACACACACACACGTGCGTTTCTTCTAACACCCACATATCATGCACACTGAGGTGAAGAGAAAGTCAACTGGGATTTATTATTGACTGTTTCTCACAACACAGGAACGAGGGGTCACAACACGAAACTAGCGGGGGGTAAATTGAAAATGGATGCAAGGCAGTTAGTTCTTTTTCACCCAGTGTGTCGTTAAAGTGTGGGATTCATTGTCACCAGATGTGGGGGATGCTGAGAGTTTAGCCAGATTCAGAAAAGGGACTGGACACATTCTTGGAGGAAAGGGACTTCAGTAGCTATGGACCATATGACTGAGAGGCATGGCCTCTGAATCAGAGCATCCTAGACTTTAAGGGCATTTATACATGTGGTCTGGGAATGGGGGTGGAGTTTTAATTAAAGTGCCCAGAGTGTCATGTGTATCAGCATCCCTGCACTAAAAAATCGTGGTGGGGTGTTTAACTAAAGATCATTGAACGAGCCATTTCTGCCATTTTTTCAGCATGGAGATGCTGGTACACATGTCACTGCGGTCTGGTGTAGCGTGGTAATTGCCACACTTCAGTAGACTCGATTAATCGAGTCTGCTCTGATGCACTGTAGTTACAGCATGTCAGAGCAGCCTCTCTGCATGTGTATTGGTGCCCACCATGCTGGAGGCTGCAAGTGAGAGAGGAACAGTGGGAAAAACCCTGGGCAGACCCAGCTCACTGTCCCCGTGAGCATCTGTGCTCTGCCATGGTGCGACACAAGAGACTGGGCAAGATGGACCTATGGTCCGACCCAGTCAATGGCAATTCTTATGTTCTTATGAGATGAGATATCAGATTTGACAGCTGGGGCAACAGTGGTGGCATTAAACTGTACATCCTAGGGGCATTGGATGCCCTGAAGTCCGCCACCAAGACATACAACCCTCTCCTGCCTACTTTTCCTCTGTGGCCATGTCTACATGAGATGCTTACTGCGCATTAGTCTAACAACAGTGCGCAATAGTGTGGCGGTTACAAACCATGCTAATAGCCCACTGTGAAGTGTTATTAGGCTAATGCACAGTAAGTGTCACAAAATAACCGTGCACCGGCTGTACTGCGCAGTCACTCTAGTTACTGTGCATTTAGTTATTATTTTATTAAGCAAGTACTAAAGTAAATGTGCAGTATCTAAGGTGCATTAATGAATGTGTAGACATGCCTTATATGTGCCAAATTCACAAATGAGGCTTTGGAGCTAGCCAAGGGATGCCCCTCTGCCCTGCTATCAGTCTCAAGCATACCTAGACAAACAGCTGAAGTAGGTGTCCCCCAGGTCAGCTTCACTGCCTCCTTTCTGAGTTTGGCAAGTGAAATCTTGATTCTGGCCAAAACACTCAGGTATGATGCCTGAAGACCTGTCCAGACTCCCTCTCTTCAATAGTTGCAGAGAACTAGAAGAGTGTTGGGGAATTTATTGCCACTATTATTATTCTTCTGCCTGTCAGTGCTCTATCTTTTCTGCTTCAAGGAGGATGAAGGCGCTCCATAATTGAATTTAATAGAGCTACATGGACTTAAGCCAGACCAGGATGTGGATTGGAAAGTCTCCTACAGATAAACCTCTGGAAGTGACATCAAAAAGAGTCATTGAGTGCTTTGGTTTTGCCAGCCTTCTGAAAATAAATTGTTTTATGGTGAAAGTTTTTTTTTTCCATATATATATTTTCCTGGAAATATCCAGAATAGCACAAGCCCTCAGATGTTTATGGTTAAGTAAGCAATTAATCTCAGATCTTGGGGCAAAAGTCTCTCTTCTGTATCTATGTGAATGTTATGGTTACTTATCACCAGTTCTATATCAGTCACTGCTGCGGTGTGGGGACGGTCCAGCACTTGCTGCAGAACTGGAGTTGTTCCACTGACTTCAATAGGCATTGGATTGGGGTCTCTAACTGGGTGCCCAAAAGTTATCAAAGCAATCAAAGCTCACACACACATGCACGCACACACGCACAAACACATATTTTATCTTGCTAATCAAAAGAAAGCAAAACCAAATGCTACTTGAGAAATCCTGTGTTCTCATTCCAGAGGCATTTAATTAAACACCACAGAGTTTTGGAACTGAATGGGCAATCAGTGTTGTGACAGGTGTGACTTTGGCTTTGTGGTCTGCTTGATAAGATGATTATACTTTGGCAGTGGCCGGAAAGCGTTAATGAAAGGCACCGATGTCTACTTAACTGTTTTTTGTTCAGCCTCTTCAGCATTATGAACAATATTTTGTTTTTGTTGAACATGCAGCATTATTTCCTACTGCCTCTCTCTCCTTTCAGCATTTGCACTGGGAAATCATTCCTTAGATCTGCTCCTTACCACATGTTTAATTTTAATAATAGGCAGCAAGATAAATTTGCCCCTATCCCTCAATATAATATACATAAGACTCAATTAGCAATGTGCTCTAGGTAGACAAGTGTTTTTATATACCTTGAATCTAAATAATTCTCAGCCCCAAACCAGCCCACATAAGAACTGTCCCATGATGACCTGTTTGGGATCCTATTGGCTAGTGCAGAGGTGCCTGATTCATTTGGCTGGATCTGGACCATAACATATGGCCACCAGACCTGGCCATTGCCAGTAGCAGGGGCAGAGGGGGTGGCTGGTTGGTATGACTGATGGAGCTGCTGCATCAACATGACTCCAGAGCCCAGGGCATGAATGCCACTGCCACTAGCCCCACTTTTTCCCCTGCCTCTGACCAATGGCAAATGAAGACCCCAAATTCAGGGGTGGGGGAGATAAGGGGTAGTGGTGTTTGCCTCCTGGATTCCAGAGTCATGCCAATGACCCCATTGGGTTGCAGTTAACTCACTCATAGGCCGCCACTTAGACGGCTCTGGGGTAATGCATCATGTGCAACCTTTTGCTGAGCAAAACCAGTTTTGTCTCACTGTATAGATCGAGGATCTAATTAGCTGGGACTTCCATTCAGATATAAATCATAGGGGGAAAAGGTCAATTGCATACACTGCCAATCATGACGGTGCCTGCAGTACATTCTCCCGGGCTTTGCATTTTAAAATACAGGTCTGCTCTCTTTCCCTCGAGAGACAGTGGCATGGACACTGCTCTGATGATGCTTCTCCTGCTCTGCTGCTCAGTCACACCCTGTTATTCCCAGTAACGTGTCCTTGTGGATCACCTGAAACATTTCCTCTTCTCCTGTAGCGTTGACACCTTCAGACACTTGAAGGCAGCGATTACCTTGCCCTCAAATGAAACGCACCTCATTACTCCCCGCATAGCCCCGTCAGACCAGCGCTGCTGCCAGATGTGAACAAGAGCGCATTCTTGACTTGCGTCTAAACAGCTGTCCACTAATAACAGCTCCTCTGCACTCACATCCCGCCCCTCATGCCCTGCTCCATGGGTGAAAAAGGAACGGTTTCCCTACAAATTGCAGGTTTTCATTCGGGGGTGTATGTCGTAGCCGTGGCGGTCTAAGGACACCGGCAGACAAGTGTCTTTGGGTAAGTCTGATATCTTTTATTAGACCAACTCGAATAGTTGGAAAAAATCTTCTTTGCAAGCTTTTGGGTACAAATGCCCTTTTTATCAGGCTGAGGAAGCATTTCTCATTCATTCCTATTTCTTTCATTCATTTCTACTCATTCCATCCAGGAAGAGCACACACCAACTGCAGATGCTTCCTCAGCTTGACGAAGGGTATTTGTACCTGAAAGTTTGCAAAGAAGAATTTTTCCATGTATTTGAGTTGGTTTACTACAAGGTCTTCATTCGGGCATTCGACTGCCCAAGAAAACCAGCATCCCAAGTAGTTCAAATCAACTGAAGAAGGGAGGTTCTGTGTATATAGGACCTTCAACGTCCTCCTGGTTTCTCCAGTCATTTCAATCACAGAAGTTTAGGGATGGAAGGGACCTTGTGAGATCATCCAATCCAGCCCTCCTACCTTGGGCAGGAAAGCCCACTGGGGTCAAATACCCCCAGGATGAGAGTTTTAGGAGCACCTGGCTCAGATTTCCAGCTGGTGCAAAAGGCAGTTCAATGGCACTCATTTGCCCTGCACAGTTCTGAGTGGTGGATTTTGTACCCTTTGCAAATGAAATCAACTGCAAAATGCCCTTCTAGGACTGGTCCCTACAAGCCAAGAAGTTCAACACACACCCCTGTGCACCCCTCGGCGAGGCCAGTTGAGGACCCTCTTGGTAAGTAGCCATGCAAACGAACCAACCCATTACCTTACCACCAGGCAAGCCTCGGCTGTGATGGGACCAGGTGGGGTTTGTGGAGCCTGCTCAGGAGGGCAGTAACCTCTCCAGGTGGCTGATCCCAGCTCAGGATGGCCCCCCATGCCCTGCCCTACACAGGGGATTGGGGATGATGGTGAGCCAGGTGGGGCAGGCACTTTCTGGATCCACCTGGTGTAGCTGGAGGATGGACCATGAAGCTTCGACATCCTGCCTCGCAGCCCTTTGAGAGGTCTTTCTGGTTGCAGTTGGGCTCTGAGCTGTGGAGAGCATTTTGAACAGTCTTCCTTTGCTCATGTATTCAAGCAGGGGGGGGGCAAGTGCTTGCCCCTTCCCCCGGCCTTTCATTCCTCTCTCCATCTCCTCTCCTCAGCCCTTGCGTGCACCCCCTGCCAAGCGGAGAGGACCGCGTGCCGTAGGCCAGCTAGCGGCAGAGAGCGGTGGTGACTTACCCCAGCCAAATAACGTGAATCCCCAAAGATACTTCTTCTCTGAGAAAAACGCCATGAAGATCAGGCTGTGGAGATAGAGACCTTCCACCAGTATCCAGTAGTAATTGGTTGCCAGGAAGTAAAGGAAGAAGGTAACGGCCACCTTACAGCCCACCTGGAGTAACCAGAGAGGGAAGAGAGTCAGGTTCAAAGCAGGGTGGGAGAACCACCAATGCCCACCCAAACCAGCAAAGCTGGTGAGCTAGAGAACAAGCTGGAAAGGCTGCTAAGCCTGGGATACATGGTCCTACGGGGGGGTCTTCCTTAGCAAGGAGCAGGGGCTAGGGTCCAGGAGACAGGGGTTTCCGACCTAGCTCAACAAGTAACCTGCTGTGTCCTTTCTATGCCCCTATTTCTTCGGGTCAGAGACACTCTTGAGATGCTCTTGTGTAACACCAACCAGCACGGGCCCCAAGCTCAGCTAAGACCTGCCAGCACTGCTCTAATGAAAGAGATACGGGACACGGCCGCCATAGAGGGCTGGGGTGTCATTTGGTGGAAACTCTCTAAGTTGAATGGGCTTATTCCCTGCTGATGGTCGGGCTGATAAAGGTTAACTGTAGGCTGGGAATCAGCTCATGAAATCTGCTAGGAGATGACATCTCTTGGAAGATCCCAGGAGTATTGCACATGATTCTGCAACTAGCCCCCTTTTATTGTCCAGTTTATTTTTTTCTGAATGATGTAGGACCTCATTTGGAGCTCATGGACTGGCTCTGAGTTTGGTTGGAGTTAATGAGTTGTAGTGGATTCATCCCACTCTAGTCACCTAGAGAACTGCTCTGTGGTGCAGGAGATGGTGAGTCGAAGGAGAAATGGTAAAGCAGGGGAGTCTGCAAAACGACACAATAGAGTTTGCTATGTGCTTTTGCATCCCAGGGCCCTGGGCTGGTGCTTGATTGTAGCTTTTACATCATAGGATCATAGACAATGAGGGTGGGAAGGGACCTCAGGAGGTCCCATCTAGTCCAACCCCCCACTCCAAGCAGGACCACCCCCAACTACATCATCCCAGCCAAGGATTTGTCTCCCTGGATCTTAAAAACCTCCAAGGATGGAGATCCCACCACCTCTCTGGATAACCTGTTCCAGCGCTTCACCATCCTCCTAGTGAGAAAGTTTTTCCTACTATCCAACCTCAGCTTCCCTTGCTGCAACTTGAACTACAGATGTGCCACAGACTCAGAGAAGCAGAGCGCTGTTCAGCAGCCGCTGCCGGCACCTACGTGCATTGACTTCTGGGTGTCTGCAGACTGATCGCTGTTTCAGCCGGCACATGAATTCAATTACATCCATGTGAAAGAGGCCCTGTGTGTTCAGGATATGCAGGGGAAGCCTTTTATCAAAGGCAGACAAGCAGCAGGATGGTGTTATCACGTGTGCAAGTTGACGGCATAGACACAGGAGATGTGCAGCACTGAACTGTCCGCGAGCACGCCACTCTGATTGCAAACCCAGACAGGTTCACTCTGTCTGCACAGCAAGAAAGTAGGTGGAGTAGCAGGCGGCACTTAATGAACATAAGTGACCGGCTGGTGATTGCACGTTGGCAGTGCTGAGAAGGAACCAAACAGCCATTGGCAAGGGCAAATGAGGCTCTGTGGAAGTCTAGGACTGGTTAGATTGGACTTAGCACTGGATCAGTAGCTGTTTAGTGCATGCAAACTGCAGAAGCAAATGTACAACCATAAATTACCCATCCACAGACAGCAAGCGTATGGCTACAAAGGTTAAAAAAAATAAAAAGCCTGAACAGCTTGTCTTGGAAACTTTTGAGAAGAAACATGTCAGCGCTTCACTTGGAAGGATGTTTTGTTCCTAGGATGACTTGGACTAATGAGAAATAAAAAAAAAAGGGTTTTGGGTGAAACAAAATGCTTTCTTTGTCTCCAAGTGGTTTTTAGAGGTTTTCATTTCAGCGTGGAAAACTAATATTTTTTTTTCTAGGTCACCTCAAAGCCAATTCTCTTCCCTGCTCAGCTACTGAGCTGCCGGATCTACTATTCACAGGCATCTACTTTGCACCCACAGCTGGGTGGGGACAAGAGATTTGCAGAAGCACGCGGGTCAGATTTTCTAAGGTGCTCCCCACTCCTACCTGAATATATTGGGAGGCGAGTGCTTTAGAAAATCCAGCCTCAACCTTGGGCCCTGATTCAGCAAATCCATCTAAGCAAGAGCTTAAGGCCTTCACTGTTCAGCAAAGTACTGAAGGACATGAAGTCAGGGAGATGGAAACACTGACACTGATAGACCCTGAAGCCTGCAATGTGTGCTGCTTCTATTTGTCTCTAGAGAGCACCCGTGCACGTGCTCTGGTACAACACGTTGCCCCAGGTGGGGTTCGGGAGGCCGGAGCCAGCACCTGGGCTGGTCCCAGGAGTCTTACCTGGAGTCCTGGGGACCACCGGGGGCTGCAGCCACAGCAGTTCTGCAGCAGGGAGCCTGGCCGGCATCTGGAGCACAGCTCCGACTGGCCAGGCTTTGATCTTGGGTGGCACATGTTGCCTCCCTGTTTTTAGGCATAGATTTTTTTGATCTCCCAGTGTCAAAAAACCCCGTGTGCTACAAATGAGCAGCATGGGGAATACCTGCACGTGTGGTGTGTGCAGACCCATCTGCACGTTTTGCCCATTCCCGCTTGTCTGAGTGTGCCCCAAGAGACCGTGACCTCCTCATGAACAATGCTGTCTTGCCTACCACATCTACCGCTGGAGATGCAGCAATTATTCCTCATTCCAAACATAATTAATCCACTGTGGAGTTGGGAGACAAGCTAGGCAAGATTTTGGGCACAAAATGGCCCGAGGAGAACTGAGGAAGGCCACTTAGTGCCCGAAAGCATGCCTAGCGTCTCTCCCAACTATATAATGGATCCACTTAAAGATAGGACCCGAAAAATCCTGCTTTTCACATATTCCCTAGACCATCACGGTTACAAAACCACTAATCCACATATGATGTGATGACTGTGGCATTGTAAATGATCACGGTAATGAGGAGCATCCCCCTGTCACTGCAGGATTGTTCCTCGTGGACTAGCAGAAAATCACAAGAAAGCAGGGCTGGAAAGGACCTCACAAGACCATCTAGTTCAGCGCCCTGCTCAGCACAGGATCCTTCCTGATTGAACCAGCCCAGCCAAGTATCTGCCTAACCTGCTTTTGAAAGCTTCCAGGGATGGAGAGTCCACAGTTTCTTTGGGCAGCATGGTCCAGTGCTTGGCCACCCTCAGAGTCAGGAAGATCCTCCTTATCTCCAACCTAAGTTCCCCCTAATGCAGCTTGAGGCCATTGCTCCTAGTCCTGTCTCCGGTGGTCACGGAGAAAAGCCCATCTCCATCCTCTTGGGAATCACCCTTTGGCTATGTGGATTCAGCTAATCACCCTTCAGCTGATCAAATCCCTCTTCAGCCTTATTTTTTTCCCCTTCAGACTGAATACCCCTAGTTCATTCAGCCTTTCGTTACAGATTTTTCCTCCCAGCCTCCCCCCGCCCCCAGTCTATTTTGCTGCTCTGTTGCTCTACCCGCCAATGCTTCACTCAAACTGATTTTACATGCAAACTGCAAACAGATCCTGCCATGGCAGCAATCCTGCCGATTGCTTTGGGAGGGCTGTGCAGTAAACCACGTTGCTGCTGCGGGGAACGAGGCACAAAACTGCCCCGCCACTTATCCTGTGCTCGAAGCGAGGAATTCCCAGGCTGCTTGGCTATGAAGCGGGTGACTTTTACCAATTAAGAAATGCCCTTTTTTCTTAAGGAAAAAGCAGTGGCAAAAAAAAAATGGAAAGATAAATTAAAAAAAACAAGAACCCCAAACCCCAAAACCAACCCAGTTCTAGTGGTAACTTCTATATTGGTAGAAAATTGCTGTCTACCCACACATTAATAGGCTGAGGGGATAATTGCAGAGCTGCCACTTTATTTGGAAACAAAAGGTAGCTATTAATCAGTGCTAATCCACTTCCTCACTGGTCTGCTTTTGAATTCCACTGAACAGGAGATGCCGCTGAAGTGCTGAGATGCACAAAACGAAGCCTCCCTCCCCAGCTATCCGTGGTGATGGATCTGGAAGGACGAGTGGCCAGACTGCTATAGAAACATCACAAAATCCACGTCGTCTTTGTAGACGGCGAGAGTTTTCCTGCTCGACAACATGGGCTGACCCTGAGCCAACGTGATGGCAGCCGCCTTTGACTCCAAGAACCAAGCTGGTGGCTTTCCAAACTAAACCCATGAGGCTCTTCAGCTTCTCCGGGGATCGAGTGCGGGCAGGGACATCATGCACACGGCATAGTGGGTTATGATAATGCATGGACCATGGTGAATAATCCTGAAATACCCCTCTGCAATTTGGAAAGCCAGGGGGTGGAGGGATGCTCC